TCTCTCTCTCTCTCTCTCTCTCTCTCTCTCTCTCTCTCTCTCTCTCTCTCTCTCTCTCTCTCTCTCTCTCTCTCTCTCTCTCTCTCTCTCTCTCTCTATCTCTCCCTTTCCCTCCACCTGCATTCACTAGCCCTCTCCCGCTTCTACTCTACATCTTATTTTCTTTATGGCTTTCCTTTTCTTTCCAACCCATAGTCAGCGCATGGTTTCATAATATCAGAAGTAGATAATAGGGAATGATGGGGATGATGGGGAATTCCCTATTATCTACTTCTGATAATATGTTTATCTCTACTGCGTCACATTGCGTGCGTGTTTGAGATACTGTCAGCTGCATGGGATGAGTAATATCATAAACATATCTATAAAAAAGAACGCATATATCTATAGATATGTTCATGGTTATATGCATAAGAGTTAGATTCTGCAGGAAGTAGAACGATAGCTCCGGTGCGGGTCGGCGGTGTGCCAGAGCTGGGACAGGCGAGATGGGAGTTAAAGTTCATATCGAGGTTACTCGTACTGTGATCTGTATTTCGATTAATCGAGAGAATAATTGCATGCTTTGCAACCGCAACAATCAGTCATCACGAATCGATGCCTTATTGCCTGCATTACATCACACGTACCAACATAACCGGTGCTATCATCGTAGCGATCGTCATCATCATTATCATTATAATTATAGTCGTCGTCGTCATCATCATCATCATCCACGTCATCATCATTATTATCAAGATCATCATCGTCGTCGTCGTCGTCGGCGTCATCATCATCATCATCATCCACGTCATCATCATTATCTTTATCATCATTACCATCATCATCATCGTCGTCATTGTCGTAGTCATATAAGGTAAAAATACAAAAACTTTACCTACTAATCAAAGACTTCATACCAAATATAGATAAACATGAAGCACATCGGTACAGTGATGATGATCTGCATAAACCTCCAATCAGGCACAAGATAGGCGATGGCCGGAAGTAACATCATACCAAACCCCCAAAAGTATTCGTCCTGTACGGTGACCCATGCCCGTGCCTGCGGACCCACAGACTCACATATCAGCGTGAAGCCTGCCAGGTATCCTCCCTGAAACAGCAGGAGTGGCCCGGGTACCTCGATGACTGACGAAATGCTATACAGTTTAAATCACAGCTTGACCACTGCGGTGAAAGTATTATGCATGAAAATTCCTTGTTATTTGTTTCACGCGTTTAGTTGATAATTACTCGAGCATTAGATTAGCTTAATGTGAGAAACATTGAGTGTTGTGGATTATAATACCGGCGGACAGCCAACCCGCCGTTTCGTACCGTAGCAAACCCAGAGATGAGGAACCGCATGGCGGCGAACATGATGTAGCTGTTAGCGAAACATTGTACGATCGCCGACGCCATAAACAGTAGGTTTGCTACGATCAGTGTCCACTTCCGTCCGAAAATATCGGCCAAGGCGCCGATGACCAGAGCACCGACGAGTTTACCGGCGAAGAAAGTAGTAGACGATAGCTGCACGAGGATGCTTCTGTCGCAGACGATGTCCCACTGCAATAATTACTGCAGTGTTAATTATGAGCTGATACGTCATCCTGCTAAAAGCTCATCACGCGGTCGCGACAGTGTGCTTAAGAGAAAAGTATGTATATACATGTAATAGTACAGATTTTCATACATTTTATTTAGGTTATTGGTTAATGACGTTCACGCATCTCACGATGGTGGTATCTAGTTAACATATTAACTATGTGAATAATATTAATTATAGCTTTTTAACATTATAGTTAATAATGGTTTAAAGCTATACTGTTTCGGAAATTAATTGCTTTTGCTCCGTGCGGGAGGGAAATCGTGTTTGTACAATACACGCGGATCTATCGATGCATAATGTGGCAGCATAGCATACCTCGCTGACGATGGTATCTCCATAGGTATCATCATACCAGTAACCATCCTGACACTTTATTGTTTCGTTGCTCGCCTTGCTAAAGTTCACGTACTGATTACACGTGTCCGCTTGCCAGTGCTCGTCTTCGTCATTCCTGATGAGAGTTACTCGATGTAGACGAGATGTCTTTTTATCCCTCTCTCTCTCTCGCTCTCTCTCTCGCTCTCTCGCTCTCTCTCTCTCTCTCTCTCTCTCTCTACGTCTCTCTCTCTCTCTCTTCCTCTCTCTCTCTCTCTCTATAGCTATTCTCTGTGTCTCCCTCCTCTCTCTCTCTCTCTCATGCGCTCTTCTCTTTATCTTTCTTTCTCCCTCTCTCAAACACGCACTTCTGTCGCTATGCCGTCGATGCAATAGATGCTAATTCGTCGCAATTATACAAAGAATTAAAATCTATAACGAAAACAAATGTGAGAAACTACAAATGAAAACCGATTTACGTATTCTCTATTTTTATCCAATTGATAATTTTTCCTCATTTTTCCACTAGAACATAATTATAACCATATATATTCCATGAACCAGAAACCGACAAGTCCGATACGTACTTTCCCGGTACGGCATCTGAGAGATTCGCTCCTCCGCCGGCAGCGGCACTGGACTCATGTGCGCGGCGGGTCAGTTCCTGATACAGTCTGATAGAGAACGTGTGCAGACTAGCAAATATCTGCATTAAGCTTATCAGAAAGAACAAGAAGAATTGCCACTTTCCATATTTACCGAGTTTGCTCAGAGCAATGTCCAGATTGGAGTACATGGTTGGAGCGACTGGCGGGGCGATGCTACTAGTACTGTTGTCAAATAGCCCTTTTATCGCATGAAGAGATGGAGGCGTGGCGGAACAGCAGGGCGCGCCAACTCTAGGCGCACATAACAGTTGCTGTACGTTAACCTTATTGCCGGAGTTCCATAAGCAGTCACCGAATACTCGCTCCTCCATACGTTCCCGCAGACTGGCCAATGAACGAGTGTATGCTTGTTTATACGGTTGGAGCAAGTGGGTTTGAAACAGCGGCGCACGCACGCACCGCACAGCACCACGCACGCACGCCGCACCGCACGCACGCACGCACGCACGCACCACACCACATGTGCACCACAGCACACAAACACACACACACACAATATTATATATATATATTATATATATATATGTTTTCGAGATATTATATATCTGGGGACTATATAGAGCTGATAGCTGGGCGTGAAATCTATTATGAGAACCTGCGGTAAGACCCGTCGAGACGAGTGATACTGCAGATTCGCACATAGCCGACAACGTTAATACCATATTATATCAGGAGCTAATAATGACAAATTGTCAATTTGTCATTCTTAGCTCCTGATTATATGCATGCAGTTCATGACGTTGCGCACAATGTCACTAAAAACTGGGTAAGCGATATCGATATGATCGAGTGAATAAAAACACAATATTGTCTTTATTCACTACCGATAGTATATATATATACCTATGATATGCAGATTAGACTGCATTACAATATAGAAAACGTGTCGCAGTGCTGAAGTTTAGGTGAGACAGCTTTGTACTGGTTTTAGTGGACTCAAGTAGACATAGCGATCGTAAATCGCCATTCCAGGAGAATGACAACAATTTTATCGCTCTAAACCTGTTCACTAAACGATGGGTCAACCGCATTGCAAAGTGACGCAGGGTTATCAGGGTAGGAGAGGTGGGGTCGGCGAAAGCTTGATTTCATGCTGTTCATGAACAGTCAAATAAATAGGAGGACACAAAAATGTTTTTTTCTATGAGATCGACGAAATAAGTGCTTGGCACAGAAGGCTTATATAAAATGTGGCTCACATGATTGTTGTATTTCTATTAAATGTTCTAGCAGGTAAGCTTGGCTGTGGGCGATGTGAACAATGTGTGCTGGCTAATCGACCGCGACGTGGCACCACAGTGCTGAAGGTATAATTGATCTTCACACCTTCGAAATTCGTTTCATTTTCCTACCAAGTACTTTTACGAATGTAAAAGTAATTAAATAAATATTCTAAATACGCAAAACGTTAAAGTTAAAAACACTTATGACTTCAAAAGAATCATATCGTTGTTTGTATATTTATTATATGTTAATTGCTCCTTCGACTATTGACGATCACAAGTTCTCTATTGTTTAATAAAACAATATAATTATCTATAATGTTTATTTCTAAACATTGGCGATATTCTGCTCATAAGTCTACAGTAGATACCCGCAGTGGCTCTGTAATAAGACAAAGCCGCACGTATCACACTGATCAAATAATCAATGTATATTGATTCGTTTTCAGTGGATTTAATATTTAATGTGAGTATAGAGTTATTTATACTATAGCATATTGGAAACTGTGCCGAACATTTTTTTGGGAGGTTTCCGTGATAGGTTTTCCCTGAAATACAGCATTAGGAAACCATGGGTTTCATTTCTTCGCCGAGTTCCTTTGTTCCCTCGTCACCGCTGTCGCCGACTGATAGCCTGCCGGCCTTCCAGTCTGCCCATTCTTCTAGCGTCTCCGGCAAGCCCTTGTCTTTCGTCTCGGGGAAGAACAAGGCGACGATGGCGCACAGGAAAGCCATGCCGCCGAAGAGAACTGGCTGTACCCATGGGTAATAGCGTTGCTGAAAACAGAAGCGTCAGTCAAAATTCGTGGTCAATAGGCATCATTGTAAAAATAAAGAAATGCGCGATAATAAAATGTTTTATGAGCGCGTCCTGTTTTTGTGTGAGATAGCAAGTCGCCTAGCTGTCGTACAGAAGAACATAGAAGCGACAGGTAAAGGTTTGCGTGCTAAAAGACCACTTTTGTTCGCTACGACGTCATGTTTACCGCGCGCATCAGGACTGTCGTGTGTACAAAGTTTGGCGATGCGCCAAGTTTGCCATCTTGTTGTCTCTCAAACGTTTTGCGCTTCTCTTCTCAAGCACCTGTGGTACTGCGGTCATTAAGTACTGCGGTCATTACGCAAACAACGTCAGCTTACCAGTGCAATGGTCATTGGTGCGATTATACCGCCGACACGCGCAGCGCTCGATGACATGCCCAGCCCCGTGTTCCTGCGGGTGAGAAATATTTACCTGGTCGTTACAATCGAGAAGGCCAAAAAAGAAAAAGAAATACACCCACAGATTTCAGTAATCGGCGTTACACGATTTATACGGTCAGTTTCCCGAACAGTAAAAGCAGAGTTAGTGTGTAGGCGCTATAGGCTTAGTTGTGTAACGACTATGTTTTTAAGTTTTATGAAGCTGGCGATTTTAAACTAAAAGGCGTATAAGATTAGTGACGATGGCACTACCGTTAGTATAGTTGCCTGAGTAAGGACAAACAGAAATGTGTTTCGTCGTATGTAGCTGTCGGTTTTAACTGAAGGTAGTAAGGTTTATGAGGATGCAGCTTTCGTCAGCAGCTGAGTAACTGAAACGTACGATCAGGCGCGTCTGGAGCTAAAAATACACAAGACTCTCATCTCCACGGGCCTATAGCTTGCAAGTGTCGGGGGGCACTCCTATTTCGAGAGGAAATAGTATACGTGCGAGAAACAACTATGGCGAAGGCTCAATAAGTTGGGTTTGCGAGCATATATGCTCGAGTCGTCAGCCTTACATTCTACACGGCGCAGTCTTGGGTTCCTGGTGACAAAACAAATGTTTGAAGAACTTAACCGATAATTCTAATATCTGTGTTACTCAAACTGTGTCGACCTTGGGCGGGTTTTCAAGGTGGGTGGTGGGGGCGCGGTCGCGATGTGAATACACGTACTGAACCAATATCTTTTAAATTGGTATGAAAATAAGACCGGATATTTTTTACCATATTTTTTGTCCGGGTATAGGAAATTGCGTTAATTTACATCATTCTCTCGAGATCTTTCCGAAGACGGGCATGGCCCCAGCCGCATTGCATAGCATCGCGTACAGTAAGTTTGAACGCAGCGACAGAACTAATGTGACAGTGTTGCTTAGTTTCATTTGTATACAAACGTGTACATAAAATAAAATTCCCTGCAAAGCAAATTATTGCAGCATTTATTTTTTAGCGCAGGAAATTGCATAGTTTCACGGAATTTCTCTCAAAATTGCCCAGGGAACAAACGCCGCACTATAACTACACAAGTTATAGTTATGTGTTATTTTGAGTAGGTTCGTTTAGCATCATCATATAGGCCTACGCTACTTCTCATATACTCTCTACTCTACGCTACACTAGCGCCAACCAACGCCAGCGAAAAATGTTTATAATTTCATTCGGCGTCACGTGTAGTCGGGATGTTGAGATAATTGGGCTCCCACTTATTGTATAAGAAAGGCAAGAAGTTTTGCATTTTTCATAGATAACTATTCTCGAGTATGTTCTCGCCTGTTTAAATACACAACTTCAACAGAATGTGATGGGTGCGTGGGTGCCCCCCCCCCTCCAGATGGAACGAGTTAGCTATGACGCTGAATAAGTTAGTAAACAATCATTCTTAATATTAAACCCCGGTTATGAATATGTTTGGAATAAGAACAGGCATAGCCGTTATAAGGCGAAAAATGAATTGACCTGATTTGATGTGAAATTTTGCTGATAGGTGTGCATGCATGTCTATTTTATGCCCACCTGACGACTGTCGGATATAACTCAACAGTGTAGATGTAGATCACACGGAATGCCGCCGTTATTGTGCATTTTCCAGTAAGAATAAACGATGTTTTGAGCCAACCCAGATCTATTCCTGAGGCTGCAATAACAAAACATTACTGTATACCAGGGGTAACAAATACAAACTACGTAAACGCTTGACGCGCATATACGCAGAAAATGTGTATACGCAGAATTTCTTAAAGTACAAAAAAGAAATGCAGCGGCACTGATGCATCAGTGGGGCAGCTGCTTACCTGTTTTTAGTGGAGTAAGATAGAGTACGATCATCGCTATTCCGGATAACACGTGGAAGAACGACAGCGATTTTATCCGTCCAAACCTGTCATAACGTCGCAGCGGCGCACGACGAACGGGAAACTATCAGTAAACATCGCGGGATGATGGCGCCCGGGGATGACGCCGTAGCTTATACACTCACGAGTGACCAAGTATACTTATAAAATGGTCTGTGTAATTTATTAATGCAATTATGCAATGTGCATGGCTACGTCTTACATTCAACCGAATGCTGAGGTCTTAAAGCGATGGCTGCTTACTTTTCTGTGGCCACATTAGCTACCACAGCAGCTGGAAACTCAACGACTCCGGTCAAGAAGCCGTTTATGTAGATATTGCCGGATTGGTTCTGCAGGCCAAGAGTAAGACCGTAGTACACCATGCTATCTGCGATCCTGTGTGTAAATATAATCATTTAATAACGTTGAATGGATAATACATACACAAATGCACGTACGCACACGCACACACGCACGCAAGTACGTATGCACGCACGTTCGCACACATTTACGCGCACACACACTCAATACTATTTGATAAGCTATTGGTAATACGGCCATAAGAATTCACGATGCTGTCCTGCTGGAGATAAGGCAGAGAGATTTAAACCGATCTGTTTTAAATCTGTTTTCGTTTTTACGATACATTGCGTTTTATAGCTCTCGGTGGTTTAACAGAATTACAAGAATTTTTAATTAGAATCTTTGCTATAATAATTCATTACCAAATGATGAATAAAACTGTTCCTAAAACTCTAAGCCCAGGAGTCTTGTAAACGTCTATAATGCTGTATTTTCTCGCCTTATCCTCTTCGTGCGAAATTGGTGTCAAGTCTGAAGAATTTGCATAATAAATAATCGAAATAATGTGGTTATCGCCAACTTACTTTGCAACAGATTATTGTCACGCAACGCAAAAATGTAGTCGAATAAAAAATCGTGGATGCTAAGCATAATTCCTGCTGAACATGTATACGCACCTTCAGTTGCTATTTTAGTTCCGTCTATTTTTGCTGCTCGTGTGAGAATGGTCTTGGCTTCTTCGGTTCTTTTGTTAGCTATGAGCCAATGCATCGATTCTGGCAGCAAGCTATAAATATAAATGTAGACGTATACTAAACGATGGGATCAAGTCAGAATAATAGCACAAATTTCTGCGGGTTGTCAGGAAGATGGAATTGGCCAAAGTACTTACTTTTACCAGAATCAGTTCCTCCCGCCTGAAAGGTAAAATCCATCTTTAGGCTGTTTTTAGTTTACAATTCCAAATATTATCGATTATTTGTTGCTACGTCTGAAAAGGTTCCTAAAAGGTGATAGCCACTCGTTGGTTATTAAAAGGAAGTAATCAATTAGGCAAGGAAATGACTACCAATGTTAACAGTATGTGTTTATACACGTTATTATGTTATCGATGTTCGCCATACAACCATTCATTTCACGTATGTCACCATCGGCATGTCATATATATCGATGCGCCAGTACTCTTGCATCCCTGCATCGTGCTTGTCGGTCGGTGTGTGTGTGTGTGTGTGTGTGTGTGTGTGTGTGTGTGTGCGTGCGTGCGTGCGTGCGTGTGTGTGTGTGTGCGCGCGCGCGGGTACGTGTATCTAGACGGTTGCGTGTATGTGCGCGCGTATGTGCATGTACGTGGTGAGTGTGTATATAAATAAATAAATAAACAATTATTTATTTATTCATTCAGTCATTTACTTAGTGACTTACTTATTTATTTATTCCCAATATATATATATATATATATATATATATATATATATATATATATATATATATATATATATATATATATATATATATATATATATATATA